ATTTGATGTTGGCGGCACTGAGGAGCTTGTGCTCCTCACAACTCGATTGACACCCCAACGCACCAACGCACCAACGCACTGAGCCTTTGTTCATTGTGTACTACATTTCTTTCGTGTTTGTTTCCTTCATTGTGTTCACTCGTTTACCTGACACTCGGAAAACCAGCTAGAAATTCCTTTGGAGTCCAATCAAACTGAAGCAAACCCATACGATCCATAGAATCACCTCTAATTAGAGCATGGAATTACTACGGTAGTACTAAAAAGAGTGGTACGTTTGGTGCTTCGTTTTACTAACTGTAAAACGAAGCTGGACTCAACCTAATACTGTATGTACTGCGTGAACGCAATGCTCCGTTTCCCTCGAAATCAGTGCCAAAATGTCCGCCTTGATTGACCCTATCGTGTGGCGCTTACATGGAGCAAAACGGACAAAAAGTAGCCAACTTAGAGCAGGAAAACCGATTTGATTTCATTAAGCCCATTTGTAGTTCAAAACAATCTCCGATATGCCTCAACCTGTTGCAACGAAAAGGAACTTGACACCGCAAGAACGCCGCGATATCTCCCACCACCTCTTACGCTTAGTGTCAACCAGTGGGAAGCTTCCGCACGGGTCCTACCAGCGTGTGGCGGCAATGTTTGGTTGCAACTGGCAGACGTTTGCGCGTTTGTGGCGACGTGCTGAGTTTGACCCAAAATCAAACACGCTGTGCCAAGACGTATCGAGTCGTATCAAGGGAGAGAATTCACGGACCTAGTACGTCTCAAGTGGGCCAATGGATTCGTGAATGCGAGTCTTGTTGTCGACGACATGATGAACTACATTGATGGGAATGGTTCTACATGACCCGTGTGAAGAAAACATTGTACCTTCTTCCGGGCGAAATCCCACCTCACCGCAATACCAAATCCAACCGATTCATCACCAAAGTGATGTTCATATCGGCTGTCGCGCGTCCTCGCTAGAATAACTCCAAGAACGAATGGTTTGACGGGAAGATTGGGACATGGCACTTTACCGACACCGTTCCGGCGCAACATTCAAGCCGCAACCGACGAAGTGGAGCACTTGTCACGATCCCCAAGACTGTGACCCGGGAGGCTTACCGGAATATGCTTGTCAACAACGTCTTACCTGCGATCAAGGCAAAGTGGCCACAGAACACTAATACTCGTGTGTACCTGCAGTACGACAACGCGCGGCCTCATGTCCTTACGTCCGACAAAGTTGTCATGGCTGCGTGCAGGTATGCCAACCTCCCAATTCACCTGATCTAAATGTGTTATCCCAAACAATAATTGTTGACGTCATCATGGTCACCAGCCCCAGCATTCTTTCACCAGAACTACTACATAGTACGTACTACGTAGTACTACTGTACGTAGTAGTAGATGATTTACGTAATCTGTCTTTATATAACACAGAGCTTTACTACATTGTGAGTTTTTATACTTAATATTTATAGTTAACAATGTAAATCAACCGCCCATGCGTTGGTTGTAGAAGCAAACGCCTTGGCATACCCGACCCCCTTGAAACTACACACAAAGAGTTTTAAAAAACTGTATTAACTGCATGTTAATACACAATTTATTATTGGAGTACCAATCACACAAATCTATCTTAACAAAAAACTCCTTCGACTGATACAGCGGCAACTTCATGGCAACGTTTGTCACCCCTATTCTCAAAGCGTGAATATTAGTGTCCGAGCGACCGCACATAATCGGAACTTACCAATTTCCAGTTGCACTTGATGCCCCCCCCTTGCAGCGCGTTGTGCTAAACTTGCTCAATGCCATGTTAGCACCCCAACGACGTTCGAACTCTTCAACGCTTTGATCACAATGATCTCGAAGGCATGACAACGCAGGCTTGATAGATTGACCAAGAAATGCACGAAGCCCATTTGTGTACTCCACGCTTGGTAGTGAAAGGCACCGATCATAGATTACCTGAAATGCAGTCAATTTCTGTGCAGACGTTAACATTTTTGCCAATGCTCGCCGTTCGCCGGTAAGGTCAAATAACCCGCCTCGCGTTTGTTTGGTGTTTTGGTTGTGATCGTCAAGTCGGTGTCGCTTCTTGGGTCGAGTTGAAGATTTGTCAACATCTTGTCCATAGGGCGCTGGCTGGATCAACGAGCTTGACGTGGTGTGCAGGTCGTTGGGCGTTTGACTCGTTTCTGTCGCGGATAAGTGCATTGAGGGGGGTGGGGGCGGGGGCTCTGTGCAGAGCGATGACGTTAATACGCCAGGGGGTTTTGAGGGGGGTGGGGGCGGGGGCTCTGTGCAGAGCGATGACGTGAATACGCCAGAGTGCAGCGATATGGTTGGTGGTGCTGTGTACAGTGATGATGATGGACGGACACTACGTAGTGGTGATGTGATTGAGAAGAGGCAGATGGTATAGCCTGAGGCGACAACACTTGACTCTGTGATGGGGATGTAGATACTGTGCGTAGTGATGAAGACATAAGGACAAACGGCAGTAAGGGAAGTGGAGGGACTGCATGGAGCGACGAAGATGGTGGGACGAAGGCTTTTGGATGGGCTTTTGGATGGGCTTCGGACGATAACTCGGGTGGGAGGACTGAAGTGATGAGTTCGGTTGCATCGCTGTCGAGGTCGGTTGGGACCAGTGTTGGAGACGTAGGGACCAGTGTTGGAGACGTAGGGACTGCGTAACCCTCGATTACGCAAGGCGTTGCAGGGCCTGTGTGGTACTTCGAAAGGAGTTGCACAAGCCGCCTCACCTCGGTAGCGCAACCACACGCCTTCACTTCAACCTGTCGTTGGATGTCGTTGATCTCAGACTTCAAATCCCAGCCTTGAACGTTTTTCATACATGCATTGGCGACATGCATGGGGGAGTCGGTGTCGGCCTTGTTCAGTAGTCCGGCATTGATCATGTCTTTGATGAACTTGCACGCAAGCACGGCCATTGGTTCGGTTGAGGAATACACATTCACGCCCGCCGCTGCCTGCAGGTTGGATACGAAAACCGCTCGCCATTTTGGGACGTACTGCAAAATGCTCTTGTCGCTAGGGTGATTTGATTTGACATCACCTTAGACATCAATTAAGTACCGTTGATTCTTCGCAATTTCGAGAAGGGACTGTGCGTCTTGCTTGTACCGACCGGCCATCTCCAGCGACTTGTGCCGCGATGCCTGCTGCATGTCAACGTCTGAGGCTCCACCCCATGTCGCAAGGAGCCAACCCGTCTTGCGGAGCCAATGCGTGGCAAATGGCCCTTGTCGTCCAGTTACCTTGGTGCAGACGTTCCGGCACTTGGTTTGGAACGTTGCTGGTGGATAGCACTTGGTGGCATCTTT